CCTCCGGCTCTTTGGTCTCCGCCGATGATGAACGGGTGATCCACCCCAGAGAGGCTCCGCCTGGACCAGCAGGTCCTTCTCGACCGCGGGACACTCGAGAGGACCTGAGCACTGCGAAGACCGCGGTGACGGAAGCCAGCACAGCCCAATCCTCACACCCGGACTTTGTTTCCAAGTCCGATGCGGGACCCTCGACTGCACTTCGAGGGGCAGCTTTGTGCAGCAAGTGTGCTGAGAACAATTATTTGGGAAAACTCGTCACGGAAACGCAGGGTGCTTTTCAAGCTTGCTTTTACATAGCGTTGCAACAGCATTGCATCACTCGCAGCTTGTGTTGTCAGAAGCTGTGAGGCAGCATGTCGCTCACAATCCAAGACAAGGACACGGGTTGTGATGTAGCGCAACACCCTGTTCCTAATTAGGCTAGTATATTCCAAGAGCTCCCCAACGTGACCTATAGTCTTGGCTACTCAGCATCTACGTAATTTTAACGCTACGCGACCCGCCTCGGCCCGGCCCAGCGCAGCCGCGTGAGCATGGTGATTCCGCAGCGCCCAAGTCGCTGGACCCCAAGCAATAAGGGTTTGGTTCAGGGTTTAGGGTTTAGGGTTCCGGGTTTATGGTTTATGGTTTAGTTTAGGATTGAGGGCTTAGGGCTCAAGGTTCACGCTTTGGGGTTTAGGGTTTTTTTGGGAGCAGGGTTCAAGACGGTTGGGCTTGGATTGATCGTAGGGTTGAGCCAGGCCCCTCGTTGGGGTAAGGGGAGTGAGTGCTTCGGGCTTTTGGTTTGAGATGTTTGGTTCAGGGTTTTCGCTCAGACTCAAAAAACCCGCTCACCAACTGCAGTGCGGGGAGGGGGGAGGGGGGGGGGGGGGGGGGGGGGGGGGGGGGGGGGGGGGGGGGGGGGGGGGGGGGGGGGGGGGGGGGGGGGGGGGGGGGGGGGGGGGGGGATGGGCGCCTGCTGGGAGGGGCTTGAACTGCCTCTGGTCCTGGCGAACCGTCCGCTTGCGGACCCCGGTTTCCTGGGGGGGTACCCATTTGAGGCAAAAAAAAGGGGTCCGAAGCAGCTTGAGGATTTGGAGGGGGGTGCCTGTTCTGACAACCTATACACCTCCGGCCCGAGGCCTCGGCGGATTTGCGGCCGTGCTCACACCAGTTGAGCCTCCGGCCCTCAAGCCAGCGCGTCCGAGCAGGAAAACTCCGCCTTTCACAAACACCTTATGTGAGCAAGCACCCCCAGCCATTCAATTAAGCAAGGGGTGGCACGAATGCCCAAAACCCTGTAAAACGATGGGAACACTTGAAAAGCGACACCCCGAGGTTATGAACCATTGGGTGTGCCGCGACACCTACAAACATCAAGCCCCTCTTGTTGCGTCCATTAGCACCTCGAGCCCAGCCGCTCATGTGGCTTTTGGGGGAGGGACAAAAAGGGGGTGGGGGGGGGGTAGGGGGAGGGTTGGGGGGGGGGGGGGGGGGGGGGGGGTGGTGGGGGGGGTGGGGGTGGGGGGGTAGGGGGGGGGGTGGGGGCGGGTAGGGGGGGGGGGGTAGGGGGGGGGGGTAGGGGGGGGGGGTGGGGGGGGGTAGGGGGGGGGGGGGGGAAGGGTAGGGGGGGGGGTAGGGGTGGGTCAGCGGGTGAATAAGGGGGGGGGCCCTGCTGGGAAGGGCTGCAACTGCCTCTGGTCCTGGCGAACCATCCGCTTGCGGACCCTGCTCACCTAGGGGGGGTACCCATTTGAGGCAAAAAAAGGGCTTTGGGCCTGGGGGGAGGATTCTGTTCTGACTACCAATACACCTTCGGCCCGAGGCCTCGGCGGATTCTTTGAAATGAGCGCTTGTATCAGAGCACGGAGGTTCCGCACCCGCATTGTTCCGATCTTCCGACTGATAGCTGCGAAGGCAGCTAGTCATGAAAACGGCGGTGTGGCTTAACAGCACTGGCTACGATTTCAGGGTTTCTAAGCATGTGGCAGAGCTATCTGAAGAGGACTCAACAAGGCACATGGCCGGCCTACTAGGTCAAACTTTTGAAACAGGGTTTCGTAGGGTTTCGTTGCGTGGCCCATTGTGGCCCTTGAAGGATGTGCCGAGCAGATTCGACACAAACCGATCACCGTCGCTGTCGCCAATCCCACACCAGGCATGAAAGCAGAGCATACAGATGGCATTCCCATGAAATGTATGCATGAATATGCGTGATCATGATCGTGTAACTATCGTGTAGTATCATGTACGCGGATTTCAACATGGCAGGGCGGCCTCGACATGACGGTAGACGGCTCAAGCGGCTTGGCCTTGTTGCAAACGAGTTGGAGCTCACTACCTCGGTGTGGGCTAGGCTTGAAGCTACTCCTCCCTTCGCTTCTGGGTTGCGCAATCTAGCCAAACCTAGCAGTCGCAAAACAGCTCTCCTTGAAAGACGCCAACATTCCACATTATGGGTCGCAGGCGAGCAACAAGAATGGCGAGAGCGGTAGACTGCTAGCATCTTCTACTGCTACCTGCCCCTGCATCGCCAAGGACCTTTTTCGCTGGAGAACTCCAGTAGGTCTGGCAGTGAAGATGAAGGCCGCTTGCGTGTGTCGTGAGCGACTTGCATTGGTACAAGTCACCTAAATTCGGGGGCAAACACGTACAGGACGCCAGCATGGCGAACAAACAGTTGCAATAGATGTCGTGCACACCGGTCTGAAGCCACACACCAGTAGACAGCCGCCAGCAGCAGGATGCGACACTTGACTCACAAACAACAGCATACTGGAACAATACTGAGAACTCTGCGCAACGTGAGGCTTGGCCTTGGCTGCGCAGCCTGGACTCTCCAAGTGACCTGGCATGATCTGGAAGAGCCAGATGGTCTCTATAATCCCTGAGGGCTCGTCCTACATGTCATGTGCAAAGTTGGGTGCATGAACTCTGCTGCTTCCATGGTCTTTGCAGCATTTGTCTGACAGCCGATACGATTGGCCCTGTGATACAGCCCGATTGAAAGGTCAGTACCCGAATCGCCACCACTGCAGACAGGAGGTTGGCTTGAGAGCTGAATCCTCTTTCAATACTATTCAATACTCACACATCTACGGAAGACTCTGATGCATCCCTTGACCTGGCTGGACCGTTTGTCTGCAGTGCAGGAGTGAGAGCTTCGATGCCGGAGTCTGGGAGCGACAGCAACGAGAGCATCGAAAAGCTGGAGCCGATCCCTAGGAAACGAGGCTTGGGAGTCTGTCACGCATCCGCGTCGTTGCTATAAGCGACTGTGAGCACGTGTGCACTGTCTGCTGAGCGCTCGTCATCACTGCGTTGATGTGCAGCTGTGGCAGGCTTGGGAGCTTCGGGGCCCGTCAACGAATCGGAAAGTGAAAGCAGCGACAGCCAACTGGAGCTGGCCACATCCAAGCCAGGCTCTGCCTTGTTGTTAGATAGAGAATGATCAGGAGCTCTCAGAGATTCTTTGAGTGCGGCTTTTTGTTTTGGCGTCACAGCTTGTTGCATTTGATGCTGCATGTTGCAGGTCCCACTTCGAGTTCTGCCAAGCAGATAGCAGATGACTTGGGAGTGCTCGGGAGCGGGGCCAGCAGTGGCAGTGGCAGTAGCGGCAGCAGCCGCATCGTGACGAAAGCCAAGCGAGGCCTCTGCTTCATCATGTTCAAGCTTATTTTGCAGACTAGCAGAACTTAAAAAGTACAGTGCGCAGACACAACTGGGCACGTTCTGTCTGATGCGTTTTGCTAAACACAGCCCAGGAAGAGCCCTGACATAAAGGCTAACGCGCCCCGCCTCGGCTTTTCCATGTGATTATGCCGAACTCTACAATCCAGAAGCCGCTATCCAAGGGCGCGAAACCGAAACTTCTAGATTTCAGAACCCAAAGCGCGCCGGGTGTGCTTCGGACAACAGGGCACAAAACCAGAAGCCCCGGTTTGGCTGTGGGGCGATCGCATCCAGTGTCCCCTGTGTTTCTCGAAGGTTTCAGGAGGAGGGAATCCATGGACACATTCGTCCGACATCGTCCGACATACATGAGCGTAGTACAAGTTTGGCTTCATTTCGTAGTCCTCGGAAGACTGGCGACAGATACCACCACTTCAAAAAGCACTTTTCGAGAAAGTTAAGATGCTATAGGATAAGCAGGAGCTGCACGAAAGCCCGTGAAAGCGGCCGCGACAGACTTTGCACCTTTGCCGAAGAACGTTCGTTTTCACGCGAAGGCATTTTGGACAGCCATGACAGACGTGATTCGATGTAGTTTGTACTACCTGACCCGCTTTCTTCTCACCAGCAGAACATAGCAGAACTTGGCCGCAAACCTTGACAGGTAGCGAAGGTGTCATCGAGGCACTCAGGGTGAGAAGTGGGTTCGGCGTGACACACAGCTTGCTTTGTCGCGGCCTAAAGCAGTATTCTAGGCTGCTTTGAGACGGCGCATTCTGAGCACCCACTGAAGCCTTTCTTGAGTTGAACTTTTCTGCTTCGCAGACTGGTGTCTCCGCAGGTTCAGAGTGCCGACAGCAGCAGCGACGGATTCTGAACCTTCTCAAGTTCTCACAACAACCCTTGGAGAGTGGGCACTAAAGCTGTACTGCCACCATGCCTCACCCGTGGAGCATCAAGGCCCGAAGCAAGCCCGTGATGTTGCCAAACTCTCTATCGGAACAGCATGGAATTGGCGCATAGTGCCGCCGATGCTGAAGCCGGCTGCTCAAACGGCCTTGTGCACTTGCTCAACTGATGAGGGAATACGAGGGAGCCAAGGGGTGCATAAGCTAAATTGCAGCCTGCAGCAGCATTCGTTAATGAGATCGCAGCCATCCCGTGAGATGCGACTGGGATGTCTTGTTTGTCCTAATTGCTGCAGTGCGGCCAGAACCTGGTACTATAGGGCTTTCACCGAGCCTGGTAGCGAAAGCATTGCATTCCAGTGCCCGGCTGAAGCGTGTGGTCTTGACCGTCGGGTGCTTTCATTCATGAGACGACTTGCTCATCGAGACTTGCGCGAGGCGTTGTGCACGATCACCCCACCGATCTTAGCGCGTTCCTCATTGAGAACAAGGCCTGTCGTGATCTAGGCTACAAGGCTCATCCAACCGGCAAGTGGCTGCTCAGCTGCTGCGTGACGTTGAGTACTTCGATTCAATCAATGGCTTGGGCAGGTCAATCCTAGCCAATTGGGCGAGTTCATGGGTGAGGCGCGCAAAGGAAAGACCATGCTATGAAGGGCAACTTTGTGGCCTTGCCCCTCGTGAGGATTTTTCGCTGGCACAAACTCTCCGGCTTGCCTTCGTCCACACCATGGACTGGGGGATACTGGGGGGGCACCCGGGACAGCTTTGATATTTGGAATTGCGTTGATGTCTAAGGCCAAATTTGAGCGCGAGTAATCAGTAAATCCAACGAGTGTGCCCGTTCGCAGGATCTGGCAGGCACAGGAGTGGTTGGCGCTTTGCGCAAGGCGGGCATACGTAGCGGTCGAATCTGGCTTGCTCAGCTCAGCCACAGGTCTTCAGCTACATGAGACCACCCACAGAACTGAGCAAGATTGTCCATGCCCAAGCCAGAGAGCTTCGCATTGCAGCTCGAAGCTTTCGATAGCTGCCAGCAGTTCAAGTCCTTCAATCTGCATTATTCTGCGAGTCAGCAAAGTCTTCTGCGCTCCAAGGACCGCATCACAGCGGCTGCTGCTCATCTGCTTCGGCCCTAGCTTGTGCTAGACGCTGCTAGATGTCGTCAAAGCCTTTTCCTGTGCCGTGCCCAGCTGACGCTGCTCAGCTTTCACAGGTGGTGGCGCACCCACGACCTGGATGATGCTCAGCCATACCTTGGGATGCAGGAGGCGCAGCTCGCGTCCCTCGAGAGTCCCTCGAGTCTCTCTTCTCTTTTTTCCGGGTCCCTTCCCCCCCGCGTCCCGGGCTCTCAGCTGACCATGCCCAAAACTCTAGTGCCGTCGAGCCTTAGGGCGCAGGATTGGAGCCTCAAGTTTCTGCACTTGGCGACTTCTCTTGTATGGCATTGTAGAGATCAACAGGATTTTAACGTGAAATTGAATGAAAGTTGCTGCAGCATGCTGCCGCAAGTCCAACTCAACTTAGAGTGTCTCAAGGCAGACGAGGCATTGGAATGGACGCTGTTTTCAGAGGCAGCTGCATATGCTTCACACTTGCACGACTTTTTGCACCGAGGAGTCGAGTTGCCGATAGTTGCCGAAGTTGTATCAAGTTCGTCTGCAGACAGTGTGAGGGTGTAAGAGGGTGTGAGAGGGAGTGGGTCTTTGCAATCTTTGCAGAGTGTGGAGGTGCAGTTGAGGCTGAGGTACAGCCAGCGCAGGCATTAGGCTCTAGGTTCCGTCGGACAGCATGTTGCGTCCGTTGCTTGCAACCTTGCTTTGCGTCCCGAGCTGAGCTGAGGGTGCATGTGTGCAGTCTTGCTTCCGATTGAGAGCCCATGTGTGGGACTCTGCCACTGTCAGGTTGCTGTGGCGCAAGATGCCACGTGTGATGCTACCTCTGGTAAGTGTACATCTGCCTCGGGTGAGCCACATGGTGGATCTCTTGTGGAAGCTTGCCAAAACGAATGTGGAGGAGAATATGGTCTTTTTTAGTGTCGCTGTGTCATAGCTCACATGCATGCAGCAGTTGGGTCATTCAAGACAGAACTCATGAGCTCTCCCAAACTCTCCCAACTCGTGCTCTCCCGTTGTAGTGATCCGAGGGTTGGGGCGGCTGGAAAAAGAAGGGGGAAGTTGCGCACTTCTGAATTGCTACGGCAAGCTGAGGATTTGAGCGTGTCCGAGTCTGCTGGAGCAAAGCCACTTTTCTGCAGTAGGCCGAATCAACTGTCGACCCACGCCTTTGTCCTTTTTCCTCCAGGTTGGTTGCGTCGGCAACTGCCAGCCTTGAACTGTCGCAGCGCCAGGCGGCTCGGTGTACAGCTTTGGACGTAAGCTTGTCAGAGATCTTCTGGCGATTCTACGTCACTATACGTGGTCGGATATGCCATGCAGGCATGCGATGTGTCTCTCCTCATCAATGGCGGCTTCTCGCCCCTGACTGGCTTCATGAAGAAGGCCGACTACGACTCTGTGGCAGCTCCGCTTGAATGGCTGTGGGATCTGAGGATCACCATGGCTTGGAACTTGGGATCGGGTTAACATGCTTCCGGCTTGTGGGGCTTTGCAACATGTGCTCCCTTGCGAGCTTTTGTTCGCCCTCTCAATGTTGCATTTGCGCAGGGGCCCTCCTGAGTTTTTTTTGGAGGGCTCAATTGCATGGCATCTCACAGTGGCTCATGCTAGGACAGCAAGGTGGGTGAACGCTTGAGCCATCAGTGTCGCGATTCAACTTTCGATAGCACTTTGACTCCAGCCCCCCTGTTTGATCCGGTATGTGTACGCGTTTCGGCCTAGGTGTTAACCAAAACGACCGATTTTTTCTTTGCTGGCTGAGAAAATGCAGTCTTTGCTTGCTGGCCTTGGCCCCGAGTTCCAGGTCGAGAACATGCGCTTAACATCAGGGCATCTGTTCGGCTTGCGCTCTTGGCGGCATTTGGTGCTCTGAGCACGGGGCGGAAGGTGGTAGTTTAAGTGTAGTATTTAAGTGTCTGAGTGTAGCAAAAGTATAGGAATCCCACAAAAAAACATGATTCATGACCGAATACTCCGGTAGTTTCTGCCGAGGCCGGTCGTACTGGATGTGGCGGACGAGTCCCTGAAGGGTAAAAAGGTCCTCCTTACCTACCAACAGGCCAAGCTTGCTGATGCTCGGCTGCAGATGTCAGATGCCCGTGAGCCGTTTAGACAGCTTGGCTGCCGTGCCGTTCAACTTGGGTCGTGTGTGTCGGCACGTGTCGAGGTCTTGGAGGTTGATGAAATCTGGAAGCCAGACAAGGTGAAGGAAGCCAAGGCAGGGCCAAGAGGTCTGAACTCAAGTCTCGGGACATACCTGCTGCCAAGCTGCGACTCAACAGTTCGGGGGCCCTTGTGCGACACAGGGTTTGCAACAAAGCCGTTGCCCGTGGAATCGCATAAGCAGGCCTCGTATGGCACCACGTCGACCGAGCACCCCTCGGTGGCCGAGCTTTTCTCGGATCTTGGAAAGTTCTATGCTGGAGGTGCTCCGAGTTCTCAAGATAGCTCCTTACAGTTCATGCGGAACTCGTGTATCGCTACATCGGACAGAATGGTTTCTTGTTTGTGCAGCGCGGCGAGGGGTCACACATGTGCATCTAATCCAGTGTCACTTGTAGTGAACAGGACTCCAATGCGCTTACAGTGTCAGACGTGAAACCAATGAAGCCAGCCCGTATAGAATTTGGGGATGGGAGCTTGCTGCATACCGATTGTTCGCCGACATTCGTCATATTCATTTTTGAAGCCTTTGACAGCACTTGCCGGAGGCAAACTGCATGGCCTGGTGACGGGTTTCGAGATGGTTTGGGGCAAAGGCTTCCGGACCCCGAAAGAGGTCCGAGCTTCCCTGCCAGCTGGCAAGCAGGTGGTTGCATTCCAGAATCGCAACCCGGTGCACAAAGCGCACTTCGAACTGCTGGCCCCTCGATGTTGCTGATTGTCTTTTCGTCATTCTGTCTTCTGTTGTGGTTCGCTGCGTTGTTAGATGCCCGTCATTCTACAGCTAAGTAGGGCCCTGCATACTTCAACCCTTAAAAGAGTGGTTCTGAGTGGCGACAACTCAGCAGCAAGATGGCTACTGACTGATGGCAGTAAAGATAGAGTAAGTGGAGTGAATGAGCAAAAGCTGTTTGTTGGCTGTGAAGCAGTGGAATGCTGTGAAGCTGAGGTCCATGCCAACAAGGATGTCGAGAACTCGATCATCTTTGTGCATCCCACTTGTGGGCCAACGCAGCCTGGGGACATCGATGGCCCTACACGAATCAAGACTTATGAAGTCCTGCAAGAGGAGCCTGAGTACAAAAAATGGGCAGGCGATAACTTCAGATGGTCGTACCTTCCCTACTCCATGAAGATGGCTGGACCCCGGGAAGCCATCCAGCACATGATCATCCGAAAAAACTTTGGTGCAACTCACTTCATCATCGGCCGTGACATGGCAGGGACGAACGCTGTCGGCAATTAGCGCTCCAAGTCTAAGATAGTCACAGTGTATTCAAGTGAGCATTGACGCTCTGTTCATTTCCAGCTTGGCTTTGCGGTTCGTCGCTGCTAAGGAAAAGCACACTGACCAGCGAGGATTTCTACGGTGCCTACGAGGTGAGGGTGGTGAGGGTGGTCCTTGTCATCATAATTCCCGTAGCAGGTTGGAGGCCGAGGGTTCTGCATGCCGGCTGAACCGGTTCATTGGCAGGCGCAAGACATGGGCAAAAAGCACTCGGCAGAGCTCAGCGTGAAGGTTGTTGACTACCCGAACATGGTGTATGCGTCTTGGATTCAAGCTGCATATCCGAAGATGCCTCGGATGCCTGCGGTGAATGTACTGGACAACTTTCATTTTAGACCCAGACATCCGGTGCCAGTTGCGTTATTGGTATGACCCGCAGGTCGGCCAGGAGAATGGCAATGAGAGAGGCGATCCGTGAAGGGTTTGAAAGCGACTGCGAGGACTTGTCTTGTTGGGCACGCGCTCGCACGCGCACCCCCCCCCCCCCTACCCACCCACTCACTCACCCACCCACCCACACACACACAGTCCTTGGTATGCCATGGGTTTACCATAAGCCCACTCTGAGGCGAGGATCCTATTGAGGGAGAGGATCTATGCAACTGAATACACCTGAAACAGAATGCAGAGGAATGCACACGAAAGTCTAAAGTCTTGAAGTCTGCTGCTCATCAGAATACGGTCGAAGACCAAACAACAGCTTTGGGTATTTCGGGCGGCCTGCAGGTACACACTCGAGCGTCCCGAATGCATCCTCACTTACTCACTCACTCACTCACTCACTCACTCACTCACTCACACACACACACACACACACTTTTGGATAAGAGTATCTGCGCTCTTGGTGTCAGCCATGGAATGGGGAGTGGGGGCGGGGGTGTTGCATAATTGTCCTGATGATGGTGATGTGGGTGAATGATCCGCATGGTTAAGGTCCTGCCCCCCTTTGCGCCAGTTACCAGGAATGGCGCATTGCGAGCGCCCAGGCGGACCACTAATTGAATTTGCCCCACTTGCCCACTTGCCCGAGCTAATTGATGTTGCCCCACTTGCCCCACTTGAACCGCTTGGTGGCCCAGAAAAGCTAATTGGTATTGGTATTGCCCCACCTGCCCCACTTCTCCGGCTTGCCTGAGATTGGCAGGAATGCAGGGGGGGGAGATCCTTGCAGTGGGGCGCCTCCCATAGCCGCCCCCCCCCCCTCCCATCGGTCCCAGCCACAAGTCTGCCTCAAATCGGGCTGCATTTGAGGCAGACTTGTGGCCCACCCCAAGAAACAAGCTCGACAATCTGGTTGGCCGCGCTGGATCCCAGAACGCTTGGTGGTTGGGCTTGGATGGTTTGTTGGGGTTTTGGGTTTTGCCACTCCCGCCCACCAGGCCCCGCCCCACCACCATTTCGGAAAGTGGGCAGGGCAAGTGGGGCAAGTGGGGCAAGTGGGGCAGGTGGGGCAAGTGGGGCAGGGCAAGCGGGGCAAGCGGCAGAAATCGCTGCGCGGTTAAGACAGGGCAAGTGGGGCAAGTGGGGCAAGTGTGGCAAAAGGGTTTCCGCTAAGGAACCAAAGCAAGTGGGGCAAGCCGGGCAGGTGGCCCGCTTGCACGCGCGCTGGAATAGCGTGCAACGGTGGTGTATGAAAAATCGGATGTCGCCAGCTGTCCTTGCAAGGGCCCAGGTGCACATCTTTGCAGGTAGGTTACACGGGAACCCGAGGGGTTGAGTGGGGGTGTCTTCGTTGGCCGAGGACCCCCACCCTGCTCAAAGCTTCCCCCTTGGCCGCCCCCTGCTTCTGTGTTGACATTCGTTCTAGCAAATGTGACATCCTGAGGGTGTGACATGTACATCCATGTCCTAGGATGCTTCACACAAATAGACACAGGCACGCAGGCAGAGGCACGCAGGCAGGCAGAGGCAACCGCACGTGCTGTACAAGCAAGCACGCTACTCTTGCTGCAGCGTATGATTGTGCTTCCATGCATGGTGCTGGTTCAGGCTACGCCACAGACGTTGACGCCAAGGCAATCTACTCCGACATTCTTTTCAGCGGAGATTTGTCAAAATTGCTGGTGCAAGGTCTAGTCCATGCGTTGTAAGGCCAAAGGCGTCAAAATCAACAAGCTTTCTGGCACAGAGCTGCTCTTCTGCATGTTTGGGGACTTTCCTGCGAAATTATTGAAATCTAGTCAGGATGCACTGAGGTTCCGCAAGCGCTTGCGGAGCGGCGAAGAGATCCCAGAGTGGTTCGCTTTCCCGAAGGTGGTCAAGGCGGGATTGTATGCATTGCATGTCGATGTGCGTGGGAGCGATGAAGTGCGTACCGTGTAGTTGGCAAGGTCCTTCGAGAAGGAGGCAGGCACACAACGACTCGCAAGCAACTGTTGTGGTGTAGATGTGGTGCTGTCATCGCTGTGAGCCTGTTACTATGTCGAGGTGACAAGATCTTCTTGTGACGAGCCCGTTCACATCAGCCTGAAGCCGCGCTCGTCGCAATGTGCAGAAGACATGCTGCGAGCCGGCTACTGGCCAATGCTGCTCCAGAACATCTGGTGAAAATCTTTAAAGCATGGGCTGAAAGTCCATTGCCAGCAGTCTCTTTTGGCCTTTAACACATGTGCAAATCGGCACATGCGAGGCATATTTTACTAGATTGCCACCCGCGACAGAGGTTGCGCACCTGCAACTGCGCACCTGCAAAAGGACCAACAGTTAGCAGCTTGCACTCCTCTTGCTTCAACTCTTACGTACTTGGGCACAACATGCGGGGCGAAGTTCGATGCTTGAGAGCGGGTGCTTTCAGCCAAAGTATGCTAGCAAGTGGTTTCATGGCTTTTGGCGCGAGGCAGAAGCCGGAGGTGGACAGGCGGGTCGAAGCGGCAGTAGCATGTTGCAGACACATTGTGCAGTGGCGTTGCAGTGGCGTTGCAGTAGCCTTGCTGAAGGCCTTGCTGAAGATGTGGGTTTTTTACGGTTAGGTTAATGCATCGCATAGGTCATAGGTTGTGGAGCCGGTGATCTTTTCCCGTGCATTGCTTGCAGCATCTGCTTGCCATGCTTGGTTCTCTTAGTGTTCGGTGGACTTCGAAGGAAGCACGGCCGAACTCATCATGGTTTGCTGGCCAGGAGGGTGAGGTCGTGAGCCCGGAGCAATGTAGCAGTGGCTACAGGTAGGTCTCCCCATGTCAAATGGTGAGGAAAGTTGAACTGTTTGGAGCATCAAGACATCTCTGAATCTCACATCTCTCATGATCTCAGTATCCTCATCAGCAGCTTTTGCCACAACAGAAGCCCCGCTCGAACTGCGCCAGGTCTGTGGGGCCCGTCTTCGCTCTGTCATGCACAGTGTGGAAGGGCTCGCCAGGTTTGGCCTGCAAGTTGTCGGGTTCGTATGTGTTGCAAGGACCCAGTGAGGCAGGGATTTGGGCCTCAGTTCGGCGTCTGCACATACATGTTGCCGATGCCAGGCTGCTGTTCTCCACAGTGCTGCTCTGCTGGAACATCCGCAGGCTGAACTTGGAGTATGCCACACATGCCGGACACACTTATATCCTGATCTTGCCGACACTTGGATTACGGTCTAGGGTTGGAAGCAGTTGTCCAGATGATCAAGTGCAGGGTGCTTCCGGACTCGGAGGGCGGCAGCAATGCACGACTGTCCTTCCAAGAGTGGCTGGAAGTGAACTCCAAAATAGAGGCCGGCAGCGAGGTTGCTGGACTTGCTGGACTTCTTGGGACGTGCACTCTTTCATCGATGGCCACAGCAAGAGTAATCAAGAGTAAAGACAGTCGATGCAGTGCAGCATAGTGCATCGATGCGCAGCACATCTGTAGAGATGTTTGGAGCTACGTCGGCCCAAGTTAGCTGCCGACTCCTGCGCTCGCACCCCGCTTTCCTATCCTCTCCAGGCAGACGGGACAACACCCTCCGTCGCAGTGCAAAAGTGCATCTACAACACCCTTCTTCAAGATGAGTCGCGGGCTTGCCAGGGCATTACTTCAGCTGGCAGCCAACTGCCCGAACATACGAAGCACTTAGTCAAGTTTTTCTTGAAGCTATTGAAGCTCAATCAGCCCTGAGGTGTCCAGAGCTTCTCCCGGATGCCTCGGTGAAGAACGCCATGCCGGAGTTCCAGGAGGCCCGGACGCCTCGGCCTGCTTGGAGGTTTGAGGTATTTGAGGTGTTGTGATGTTGTTGCCGGGCACGACGCCATTTTCAGAAGATTCTATCACTGTTCTATCAATCAGCAACTTCGTTATTACAGCTGTACATGACAGTGGAAGCGGCACCGCCTTCATTGTGGCTCACGGTTCGCTTTCTCAAGATGCTGACAACTGACAATGCTGTCAATTTCGAGGCTCCTGAGGACACCTCCTCTGCCTTGCGCGCTGCTGGGCAGGCGGCAAAGTTGGACGAAGAGTTGATGGGGGATCCTTTGATCATTTGTGGTGGCTGCAAACACCGAGTAACAAAATTATGATGCATGCGGCATGAAGGATCATGGAAGTACGTGGTTGCTCTTTGCAGGTGGCTGGCGACACATTGAACGCAGGGACCCCGGTGACACCCCGTGTCTCCGCGTACACTTTCACCACGAAGACTCATCTGTGCCTTGCCCATGAAGTCTTACCTGACTAACCTTTCCTAAGCCTGGACACCAGCCTTGGGTGGCTTCGCTCATTGAAGCACGTTCGAAACAGGGATGGGCTTCGATCCCTCCTGGTGGACTCGAGCGCTACGATGTGCCGATGCCGCACGGCCATCAAGGCTCCATTAAGGGCCCGGCATGTGCAGCTTCGACACAATGACATGGCATGTTTTCATCAGTTGCCTGGGTTTTTGGGTTCGGTTCTTTCGGGAGCACCTGCCTTAACTCCACAAGAATCCTTGCTTTCATTTCATCCGTGCCTCTGACTGGGGCGAGCGGCCGGCCCTAGAATAAAAGGGGTGGGAGAGTGGCAGTCGTGAAGAGAGGCAGCCGTGTAGATTCCAGAGAGGCAGCAGAAGTCATAAACTTGCAGCCTGGACGAGGTGGGCTGTCTGGTGCAAAGCTCTCGCACTGTGTCCTGAGCGAGACCTCCAGCAGCTTTCTCGACCGTTGGGAGCCCAACTGCAGTGTGGCCCCTTGCGCCTTTCCCCTGCCAACAGATGCCAAACTCAGATGGTTCTTCTGATTTTCGATCTGTATTTCCACACGTTGCTCGAAGGTGGCCACAAGAACGGCATCAACTTGCTGCAGCCAGAGGTGACCGCAGGGGAGGTCGGCGCTGCAGTCAGCCATGAGAAAGCAACAAGTGACTAAGGGTTGTTGTACTGAGTTGACTGAGTTGTACTCTTGTACTCCGTTGCGAAGCTTAGTCCTAATCAGACGGTGGTGTGATGGCTGAACCATCTTTGAATGTGTATTGATTGACACACGTAGCCAGGATGGCCTTTGCAATTTCGTGTCGAGGCTGTGTGGATGTCTCTGAAGTATGCTGTCTGGCTGTTCTTCTCTACGTCGCCGGATGACCCTGCGCCGTACGTCTTCATCCGTCTTCAGGACTGCTGAGCATGCTCAGGCAGGGTTCAACGATCTCCGCGAATGGGCATGGGTCGACTATGCCGAAGCTGCAGGATACAGTTCTGCGCGAGACCAACCTGCGTGAGAAGAGCATCGTCCTCTCTGGAAGGAGCACGGAGGGGCCATAAACTCCGAAGCACCTCAGTCTCAGAGTCGCTCTAATTGTGTCACCCGACACTGCCATGTGATTTCAAGTGCGCTTCGCGGGAAACTCTTCTTTGGGGCCAGTCAGCTGAACACCTGCCCTGGGCTGTGAGGATGAAAAAGTCTGCAGATGACGATGCGGCAGGTGCTCGTGCTGGATTTACATATTTACATGTGCACGCGGGAGTCGAAACATGTGCAGATGATCAGGTCCATTCGGCGATTCAGCTCGCGAGCCCTTGCGGCAGCTCAACAGCAGGACGGCGAGAGGAAGCATTCCCAGCATCTATCGATCAGCGTAAGGCTCTGCTTCCTCCTCGCAGATGGCAGATTTCAGCTCTTCGAGGCCGCAAGCCTAGCCTTGAGTTTTTTCAATGTGTGGCTCAGGGATGATTGGGTTCTGCTTGGGCAAGGCCCTGTGGCTTGAACTGCAGCTGACATCGGAAGAGGACCCAGCGGTACTCTTGGCAAACGGTTCAGCGCAGAGTTAGCATGCAGTGCAGTGGAAGTTCGCTTGTGGCGATGGTGTGCTTGTATGGAGCAGGAGATGCAGATGTGGGCTCGTGCTCTCTCCAACGCATGCCTTGCAGAGCCCGAGCCTAGTCGTTGACCTGTGCATGCACGCGGGCAAAACTAGCGGATCTGCTGCTAGTCCGTGTCTAAGGTGAATTTTGGGCTTGCTGGTCTCAACCGCGGAGCACTCAATCTGGCACATGTAAATCACGAAAGCTGGCAAAGATGAAGAAGAAACACACACACACACACACACAATGCGTACATGAGCCATTACGACTACGGCTACGGCTGCTGCTACTGCTGCTGCTGCTACTGCTACTCCTATACTACTACTACTACTACTACTACTACGACGACGACGACTACTACTACTACTACTACTACTACTACTACTACTACTACTACGACGACAATCCAAAATGGTCAAAGCCCCCAGCCCTCGCCCCCTCACCCCTTTTTCGTTTTAGTATGACGGGACACAGGCTGATGAGACCCGAGAAGGAACCAAAATACGAGAAGCGAGAAGATGCAACGAGACCCACCCACCCACCCACCCACCCATCCACACACCCATCCACACACACACACACACACACACACACGCACGCACGCACGCACGCACGCACGCGCACGCACCCACCCACCCACCC